GTGTGCGTGCAGGATTGTTATGCTTTTTCGCTAAGTGTTGGCTCGTTTTGCCGAGCTCCATTATGATGTGAATGTTTATTGTTTTGTGGGGGACCTTTGCTCGGTGCGTGTTGCCCGGTAGTGTGGGGAACTATCCGGATGCCCGGGGTAGCTTCCTGGGCGGACAAGAGTTAGGTCACGATTGTGATCTATCCTGTAGGTTTAAACATCCCATCGCGAGCTTGGCGTTCGGCCGATTATGATACTGCGGCGGCGACTCTCGATCGAGGGGGTGCCGTCGAGCGGGCTATTCTCTTTTTGTTCGGGGAGGTATAGTGCCCGCTAGGGTATGGTCGGTGAGGTGTGGCCGTATCAGTCCACCCTCTTGTTCGCGCGGGTTGTCCCTCGCGGGCAGTGTTGTTTAACTGTAGTATTTTTTTAGCTTTTCAGCGTTCCATGGTCGAGCTATATGGTCCCCGTGTAAGTTTTCGAGGTAGTAGGTTTTCGAAGGGAGGACAAGGCTGGATGGAAGCCAGGGTCTTGCCCGACAGAGTCTTCTGCCCGACGAAAGAGAGGACAAAGACTGGCTGATGGGCAGCCAGGTTCCTGCCCATCGGAGTCTTCTGCTTGACAGAAGGAGGACAAAGACTGGCTGGTGGGCAGCCAGGGTCCTGCCCGGCAGAGTCTTCTGCTCGACGAATGGAGGACAAAGACTGGCTGGTGGGCAGCCAGGTCCTGCCCATCAGAGTCTTCTGCTCGACGAAGGGAGGACAAAGACTGGCTGGTGGGCAGCCAGGTCCTGCCCATCAGAGTCTTCTGCTCGACAAAGGAGAGGACAAAGACTGGCTGGTGGGCGGCTAGGTCCTGCCCATCGGAGTCTTCTGCTCGACGAAGGGAGGACAAAGACTGGCTGGTGGGCAGCCAGGGTCCTGCCCATCGGAGTCTTCTGCTCGACGAAGGGAGGACAAAGATTGGCTGATGGGCAGCCAGGTTCCTGCCCATCGGAGTCTTCTGCTTGACAGAAGGAGGACAAAGACTGGCTGGTGGGCAGCCAGGGTCCTGCCCGGCAGAGTCTTCTGCTCGACGAAGGGAGGACAAAGACTGGCTGGTGGGCAGCCAGGGTCCTGCCCATCGGAGTCTTCTGCTCGACGAAGGGAGGACAAAGATTGGCTGGTGGGCAGCCAGGGTCCTGCCCATCGGAGTCTTCTGCTCGACGAAGGGAGGACAAAGATTGGCTGGTGGGCAGCCAGGTCCTTCCCATCGGAGTCTTCTGCTCGACGAAGGGAGGACAAAGATTGGCTGGTGGGCAGCCAGGTCCTGCCCATCGGAGTCTTGTGCTCGACGAAGGGAGGGCAATTGTGAACAGCGTCGCCATGGCGGAGGGCACTCGTGATCTTGAAGTTTTGAGAGATGAAGCTTTGGTTCTCTGCTCGGAGGAACGGGGGAGCTTAGTTTCCCACAGACGGCGCCACTGATCTGACCTGATCAGAAGGGGATCACGATATGGCCACGCGCTACTGGACGGCTACCTGTTCACCGGGGTGAGAAGGAGGAGGGGGTGTACCTGCAAGACACTCCGATGCCAAAGTAAGAAGTTGGGCAGAGTGGAAGCAATAGTACAGAAAAAGGGGCAAGAAGAGTTACCTGGCCCTCTTGGGGAAGAGGGTATTTATAGAGAGACCCCAACGCTGGGCCAACGGTCATTTGAGTTGGGCTGGATGGCCAGGCCCAATTCAAATGACTACTAGGGCTTACATGGCGTAGTGAAGACCAGGACGTGGTCTTCGCCCTAGTCCAACTGCTCCTAGATCTCCGGAAAGTGGGTTTGACCTGCTCTTTCGGAGGTGGGTAGTTGGTTGATGACGTGTCCCCGCGGAGGGGAGCACGCGGAGAACGTGTGGAAGGCACGTTGTGCTGCCAGACGGGATGGGCACAGGTTCTGCCCACGGGATGAGCGCCTGCCCGACGGGAGGAGGTTCTGCCCTGACGGGATGGGCACAGGTTCTGCCCGACAGGATGGGCACAGGTTCTGCCCACGGGGATGGGCACCTGCCCGACGTGAGGAGGTTCTGCCCTGACGGGATGGGCACAGGTTCTGCCCGACAGGATGGGCACAGGTTCTGCCCACGGGGATGGGCACCTGCCCGACGTGAGGAGGTTCTGCCCTGACGGGATGGGCACAGGTTCTGCCCGACAGGATGGGCACAGGTTCTGCCCACGGGATGGGCACCTGCCCGACGGGAGGAGGTTCTGCCCTGACGGGATGGGCACAGGTTCTGCCCACGGGATGGGCGCCTGCCCGACGGGAGGAGGTTCTGCCCTGACGGGATGGGCACAGGTTCTGCCCGACAGGATGGGCACAGGTTCTGCCCACGGGGATGGGCACCTGCCCGACGTGAGGAAGTTCTGCCCATGGGTCCCTGCTCATCAGTGTGGTCCAATTGGGCCCAACCTCAGTGGGATTTTGGGCCTTCTCGATTGTGGGCTAAGCCTCGGCCCAGTCCAGAACAGTTTTCTTGTACCTTAAGTAACTAGCGTGTAATTGTCTTGTATATATACTTCTCTCACTCCCTTTCAATACATAAGAATGATACTTCTCCTTTCTCATCTTCTTCATATTGTTTCTCATCTTTTTTATATTATTTTTCATGCTATGTTTCATGAAACATAGGGCTGGCAATGAACCAAACCAACTCGAAGATAGTTCGGAATTCGACTCGACAATTAAATCGTTGAACTAGGTTCATGAACCAAATGAGTTGAGTATGAGCGAAAAATTAAGTTCGTTAACTAAATGAGTTGAACTTGAACTATATATAGTTCGACTCGTTAGTTTCATGAGTCAACTCAATTACATATGAAAAGAATTATACTGTCTTTAAGATTAGGTTTAAATATTTACTTCAAATCTTAGACAAATTTAATCTTCAATTTAGTAGTTTTTGAATTAGACTCTCAAATGTATCTCTTGAAAGTTGTGTAGGTTTTGAATTAGTAGATTTCGAAGATAAAGTTAAATTTCAATATGATAACTTTTATTTTATTTTAATATTTTATTTAAAAAATATATATTTATTTAAAATGTCAAATATACTAAAAAATATATATATTTAAAAAAATAGTTTTTAAGTTCGTGAACCATGTGAGCTGAATCTAATGAGATGAACCTAACGAGTCGAACCGAACTGTTCGTGAACTTATAACGAGTCGAGTTTGAGCTTAAAAAAAAGTTCGTGTCGAACTCGAACTCGAACTCGAATTCGAACAATTCTTAACGAGTCGAGCCGAGCTGAGGTGAGTTCGACTCGACTCGACTCGACTCATTTCCAGCCCTAATGAAACATAATAAGATGATTGATGGAATAGGAAAATAAATGTATTTTAAATAATATAGTTTTATAAATTAAATATTACACATTTCCCTCAAATAAATAATTGATGTTTTGGAAGATTATGTTTTGAAGAATGTGACATCATATTTTTAAAAATGTGGCAAATAAGAGAATGAATTCTCAAAACTACAGATTTTGGATCAACTTTAATATATTATAATAGAATAGATAATAGATATTAGTAACCGAGAAGAATGCATATCAAACTAGTAATAGATCCGTGAAATGAACAATGTCACATATTTTTTTGTTGATAAAATATTTTAGATAAAAGTTCTACCTCATATTGTTGTTAAGTTGGTCTCAATCATCATGATTGACTCTTGTAAAATAACAAAGTATACAAGAGTAAGATAAAAGTTAAAAATATATATATTTTTAGAACATGTTTATTATTGACAACCTATCTTATGAAAGTGCTATTAATTAACTATTAACTTATAAACTTCTGTCTTACAAAACATATATTTTAAATTATATGATACAGATATTGATGATTTGAATTGGTAACACAAATAGAAAAGACTTAATTGTAATTAAATTTGGTAAACAAAAGAAGTATATATAGTTTGGTGAGAATGAAAATAGAGGCAGAGAGAAGAAAGAGAATTGAAAGGAGAGGATAAAGACATTTTGACAACCAAGTAGGATCCGATTACAGCGGTCTCTGTGTTGTGTTTGGTGGGGGGTGCAGTTGTGATTTGTGAATATCTTTTCTATCTCTCTCTATTTCTATTTTATATCCTCTCTTGTGTTGTATATTGTTTTCTCATCTCTTCTTATATGCATAGAACTTGGTGAACAAGAGAGGGAGAGAGAAGAGGAATCATTGTTCCTTCCGAGAGAAGGGAACGAAGATTCCTCATTTTATGTTTCATCTTTTATCACATTTCTCTGCATGGTAATAAGGTCTGTCTATTCTTCTCTCTTTGTTTTTTGTGTATGTTTAGAGCAGCATTTTAATTGCCATTACAATATCTCAATATTCTTTTAAAGGTGATTTCAAAAAGCTCCAAATCTTAGTTTTTTTTTATGGGATTTGGTTGAATTTTCCAACCTTTTCATGCATGTGACATGTTGCTAAATTTGCTAGTTTTGATTTAACATTGTCGCACGTTGTTGTGGCAAATTTTGTTTGTTTGTTTCTTATGTTATGTTACATTTATTGTTTGTTCTGGTTTTGTCAACTATTTACAACCCAAATCATGTTGATTTATATATATGTTTTTTTTATTACTGTGCAACATGTTTGTCACGTTTTATTTTCATCTAGAACATTTATATAAGAATGTGTTTATGCATAATTTAATTTTATTTTTCAGGGATTATTTTATTCTTTTCAAAGGTGATTATTGTGCAGCCACGGCTATGTTACAGCGTGGATGTCTTTGTCACAGTAATCAAATCATATTTGTGTCACTGTCTATTGTTTCAGAACTTTAGAGTATACATATTTTAAGGTTGGTGATGAATAATGAATAAGGAATAATGATGATTAAATTTTTAATCATAATATAAACTGAACTTGTTCTTGTATTAATCATGTGTCTAATTGGTTTTGCAAGGTTTTGTTAAGGAGGAATAATTAATAATAGACACACACTATCTGTTGTTTTAAGAAAAGCAAAAATGTTGGCTGGAATAGTGAAGAAGTTAGCTTCAACTACAATGGGAAGCTGCGCTTCGAAACCAAACGGGAAGACTAAGAGTCAGAAAAGAAGGGGTAACAAATCTGGAAAGCGCAGAGGAAAAGGAAACATTTCCTCTGTGCTTCCAGATATGCCTTTGAAAAGGGCTAGCAATGCAGGAAACTGCGTGGGAGATTTCGATCTCAGTGACTTTGTTCATCTTGATTTTGACAAAGGTAACTCAGCTACCTGCAGGAGATCAGAGGTTTCTAATGTCAAGTTTCATCTTACACAGGTTCAATACCATACTCAAATCGACGCAAATGGTAACTTTTTTCTCCCTTGGTTTGGTTTGGTTTGGTCTTTTGGTTATTAGTTGTTTTTTTTTTTTGTACTAATAATCTTCAATCGAGGCCGCCAGATCATGATCAGACGGCTCAAGTTTCAACTTTGTGGCATCGGATCATGATTAGACGGCCCACGTTGCGACTTTGAACTTTATTTGCCAGAGTTGAAATATGAATCGTCAAATCTTGATCAAACAGTTTAGATAAAGAAGATGAGCGTTGGTATATATTTTGCAGGAAATTACCAAGAGGATGCATGGTTTGACTCAGTTAGCATAATAGATTCTGATTCAGATGATGACTTCAGTAGTGTGCATGGAGATGGTTTTCCTTTCCCCGGACATGCTATCGGAAATGTCTCAAACACTCAAGTACTCCAATATGAAAGTTCATCTTGTTTTCTAGATTCAGGGTGTAAATATGAGGAGTTTTATGAAAGCTACCTCAAGATAGATAATAATGGAGAGAAAACTCAAGAAAGTAACTCAACACAATCAACTGTTATCATGCTTTCTGTGACAAGACAATCAATTGATACCGGCGAAAAGCCCGATTTATGTAAGATTTTCCTATGTTTAATGAGTTTTGTGAATGGCTAATTCTGTGAGTGTTTTTAAATTTATATGTTCTTTGAATTGATGGACAGGTTCGTCTGAGAGATTTCTGTACCGTCCGAGAGCCGGGATTCAAATTCCAGTTTCAACTCAAGAAAAAACTTTCCCTGGTTCCTGGTCTACACTTTCACCTTCCGTGTTCAAGCTCCGTGGCGAAACTTTTTTCATGTACGTAGCAAATTGTATCGATATACACGAGTCAGTGTCAGTGTCAGACACCAATATAACACTAGCACATACCATTGTTATATTCAATTATTTAAATTTTCTTAAATTATTAATTGTGTCAATGTCGTGTCAGTGTTTCATAGTGGTTAATTCATGTCTCATGATTTACGCAGAGATAAGCAAAAATCTCCTGCTCCAGATATATGCCCTTATAAGCCAATAGGTGTTGATTTATTTGTGAGCTCAAGGAAGATAAATAACATTGCTAAGCATCTTGAACTTCCAAGTGTAGTTCCAAATGAAAATGTACCTCCACTCCTCATTGTTAATATACAGGTTTGCATTCATTTCACTTTTGTTGAGGTCTATAAGATTGTTTTGTTTTTTCTATTTGAACAATGTTGAAAAATTGATTACATAATTTAGTCATGTTAATTTGTCTTCAGTTGCCTACATATCCTGCTAGCATGTTCCCCGGCGAGGCCAACGGAGAAGGTTTGAGTCTTGTTCTATATTTTAAGTTGTCGGAAAATTTTGAAAAGGAGATCTCACCGTGTTTTCAAGAGAAGATCAAGGTATTTTATTTCCTCTACACTGAAACATTTCACTTTCTCACATTATTGCTGGTGTCGGTGTGTTAGTGTCATGTATGTGGTGTCAGTGTGTTTGTATCAGTGTTTCATTGATTATGGTATTTGGTTTGGCAGAGATTAGTGGATGATGAGATGGAAAAGGTGAAAGGATATACAAAGGAAAGCTCAGTTCCCTTTAGAGAAAGACTCAAAATTTTGTGTGGAGTAGTTAATCCGGAAGACCTTCATCTGAATTCTGCAGAGAAGAAACTTATACAAGGCTACAATGGCAAGCCCGTGCTTTCGCGTCCTCAACACCAATTCTTTAAGGTACATTCATTGGATCAAAATACATGTCTATTTCTCAAATTATTAGCGTAGAGATTTTTTACACTGTCAACCAATCATAATTGCCAGAAGCTATTGAACACTTAGTAGACATAGGATGAATCTTCTTCTCTATATAATTTCACACATTACTTATGTACTCTAATTACAGGGACCTAACTACTTTGAGATAGACCTCGACATACACCGCTTTAGTTATATATCGAGGAAGGGACTCGATTCACTTCGTGACCGTGTAAAACATGGAATACTTGATGTTGGATTAACTATCCAGGTACAATTTGATTATGGAAAAAACAAATATGTTTTATTCTGACGCGGTTTATCACGTCAAATATTTTGAGGTTACATTTAGCAATGGTTTAATCGTGTCAAATTTTAAGTCATTTATGCAGGCCTTCAAAATCGTCTTGATCTTGGCAATATGTTTCATTATTTAATTTAACATGAATCTATTTATGTTTTTATGACAGGCACAAAAGGAAGAGGAACTTCCAGAACAAGTGTTGTGCTGTTTAAGATTGAATAAAATTGACTTTGTTAACCATGGCCAAATTCCTACCATTATGACAATTGATTCAGAATGAGCTAGTTGATCAGTGGGGCAAAAGTAAAGGAAAGATTAATGTATATTTTAAAATAATTGAGTGTCACTTATTTGCAATATTTATTTTTTAAATCATTATATTTAATTATGGTATTGAAATCCTTTATGTAACTTTGCATGATTCTCTTGCCTCTTTGTATTGTGTAAAATAGATGATTATGATTCATGAAAGGATTTTTTACACAATATATGTGTTTATATATAAAGTACACAAGAAGATGTCTCAATTAAAATTTAAATATTTGAAAGAAATATCCATAGATCATTCTTTAGTAAAAGACAAGTGTGCTATTCAAGAAGTCTAAGGACATTATCTCCACCCACTGCATTAGTCGGAATAGATTTTTACTTCGGCCGTTTATTTTACCGATGTAATATCTATCTCATTACTCGTCTTTTTTTAGTATGATATTTTAGTCAATTTTCACATTGGCTGTTATTATAAATTATGGTAAAAGATCCCTTAGAGACACCCTACAAATTCAACTACCATGATTTTGTGTTTTACTCGTTATAAAAGAGGTGTTTATTTTTATTTTTAAATTAAAATTAAACAATTTTTCACTTCGCTGGTATTCAAAGTATTTAAAGTGTGTCTTTAAGAAACATTTCTCCACGATTGTTAAATATGACCAAGGTGAAATGGTTTACCACTTCTTTTTATTTTATATTAAAATAAATTATATATACAAGCTAATTTTATTTTCCTTCGAAACAGAACAACATTTTAATTCTTTATGTGAAATCTTATCCTCTCATTCCTAATCCCTATTTACATAAATGTATGAAACAACATTTTAACTCTTTAAGTGAAAGTTTATCCTCTCACTCTTAGTCCATGTTTATGTAAATGTATAAAACACCATTTCTTCACTAACCTTCATCATATTTTCTCATACTCGTATGGATCAAAGAAAGGAAACATGAAACTTGCAAGAAGCAAACACGAAACTCATTTCTTTGACTTCTTCATCATATTTCTGGTACATGAAACATTTCCATCATTAATGTTATTATAATGTTGTTGTTTTTCAAATTATTTGTTCATTAAGATTTGTTGTTTTCTTGTTGTTGATACCCTAAACTAATATGTCTAATGTTGTTGTTGTTGAGATTGAGATTGAAGTTTTTGTTGAACATGTGACTCCATACATAAGAGGGAAGTGAATTATGGAGGCTTGAAAAATGAGGGTTTAAAAAAATTATTGTGTAAATTAAAGTTTTAAAATATTTCCTAAAAAACGTTTGAATATGCAACAAAAAGAAAATAAACGAAACAAAATCAAAGTTAAGGGAAGAGAGATAACACTAGAGATTTATAAAGGTTTGTTTTTAAATAAATGACCTACTTGTCTCCCCATGAATTGATACTGAGAGTATACAAAAATGTCTGAGAGCTTTTAGAAGGTTAACCGCACAAACCCCCTTAAACAAGAAAAATGAAGTTTCGGGTTAATTTCCAACTAAATAACTATCGCAGAATGAAGTGGTTAGTTTTCATGCCAAATAGCGAATAAAGCTTTGAACTGTTAGTATCTAGTCCAAACTGAGATTTTGTATGGGCTAATCTTAAGCCAAATTGAAGTTTTAAGTTAGCTATCATCCGAACCGAATCGAGGTTTTACATGGTTTGACTGATCCACTGTTGCACACGTGTCAAAAACAAGTAAATAAAAAATTGTAGTTTAGGGAAGCGACACTCGAGAGTCATATCAAAAGGGCTCTTGGATTGACTTTTACTAACTGAAAACGATGGGGATTTTAAGGTTTAGGTTTCAAATAGTATAACAGTAAAAAAGACTTGGTTACAAATAAGTTAAAATGACTAATCCTACTGAATTGGGTTTCTACTTATCATTGGCTATTGTAACTCCAATCCCCTAAGCGGCTTCGATCATATTAAGTTATGAAATAAGTTAGACAAGCGCTATCAATATCATGTGAATTATGTTCCTGATTACTGCATTAAGCATGACGGTTTAAAGATTAGGTGAAGCTAATGAATAAGATAAGTTAACACACGATTAAAATTAGGAACATGCAAACAATCGAGTTTAATCAATTGTATCCTATGAGCAGCAATCGAATTAAGAAAATGAATTCATAGGCAGATTTAAATAGAAATCGAAATTGAATTAGAATTAAAATAACCTCAAAGCGATGGAATCGGTAAATCAGCAGAATTCGCCTTAGGGATTAGTTCTCCATGAAAATCGTACAAAGCAAGGAATTTTGTGAATAGTGAATAGTAGCATTGGCTGGGTCGGAAAACATAAAAACCGAACCAAAACTAGCCCAAAACTAATTATTTTCTAAAGCCTTGTACTAAAATGAATTATTCGATTCTTCTGCATTCTGGATCTGCTTCTGACTTCAACATGAAACTTGTAACTTTTCTTCTTAGCTTTTCAAACCATATTAGAAAGAGTCAATCTGATACACGTAACTCAAGTTATGATATGTTCAATCAGAAGGTATCAAATAACTATTTAAGTTGAAAATTAAATACAAAATTAAAATAAAGGTAAACATAAACTAAGTTTAGTAAACAAACTAAAATAGTAAAAATAACACAAGGCACTCTAAAGTAGTGAAATAAAGTGAATGAAACAATGTGCATTAAAATGCACTGATCATTGACGACAAACGAATCTGAGATGTTATACCAGAATGATATCAAATCGACTGAGCTTTTGTACAGGACTAAGCTCAAGAATTGATGTGGAGATTTTTCACTGCTTATTCTTCACAAACCCAAAGAGGAGAGATTTTGTTCAAGTGGTAGAGCTCACGAAGAAAACAGAGACTTATACTAATCTCTGAAGGATTTTTTTATACAGGTTTACCTCTAAAAATAAACAATTACTTCCTAAGAAAGAATAATTTACTCAAGAGGAAAAATAACTCTTGGTAAATTTACAATAATGCCTTTTCTCATAACAATTTCTTCACTAAACTCAAGAACGTTTCTCCAAGTACTATGACTAAAAATATGTGAGAGAAAGAAAAATAATTTAGAGAGAGATTAAGAGAAAGGAAAGTGAGATATATCACATTTTTTGGATGTTTGAAATGAAATGGAAAACCTCTATTTATAGGCCCATAAATGGTTCAATTTAGGAAATGATTCATGGAAAAAATTAATGACCTAATCGATTAGCTAATCATTTATGGACATGCAATAATTTATTATTACTCCCGAATTTGGAAGGTTTTGATAGAGTGTCATTGTCAGCTATTAAGACATTGTTATAATCGATTTTAGACTTAATTTACCTTCGCCTAATTGATTAGGCATTTGTTCTAATCGATTAGATAGTTTAAAAACTTTTCTTAATCAATATAATAGTTTCCGATTCATCTAGATAGGTTCCAAAAACATTTTTGGTGATTTTATTTTAAAAAGAGAGGATTCAAAAATATTTTTAGGTGTGTGTGTAATTTAACCATACTAGTTATGAAAATGCTAATGTGTTTTTACAAAACATTGATCACTCAACCAAACACTCAGGCAAGCTTTGACACCTCCTTTTTTTTCACACTCTGAAGCTTCAAGTCCTTTTTCCGGATATACCAATCATACAACCACTTCACTTGAATATTCTTGTGGATGAGACTTTAGATATCTTCAAGTCATACGCCATCATCAATGGATATCAGTGGTGATCATAAAGCCTAATTCTTTAGCTTGATTCAGGGGAATAACTTAATCAACCATCTTTAGTATCTTTGACATATAGCTTTAGTACTTCCTCATTAAAATCAATTTAACAGTTGTTACAACTTCAAATGTTGTCATCACATTACTATGACATTATTAGGGCCAAGCATATCTTGCTTATATATGAGCTTTGATCACTTCCTAATTGTACTTGCAAGCACATAGCTCTGCATTCTCCCTCTTTTAGGTGATGACAACACATCTCTCGAGGAGGTGGTAAAAGATAAAAACAAATAGGTGGATAAAAATTGGTATGGTTAAAATCCCCCCTCACATGAGTAGAGAGTATAATTTAATCCCTTTGAGAGTACACTTCTCCCTGTAGTACCCTAAAATTTCCCTCTCTTTTTCAACCTTTTGGCTTATGCTTCATTTATTTTCATCCTCATTAATTATACCATGGCATTAGTTCTTGAGACATGGGATCAAGTTGTTTGTGTGGCTCAAGACGTCCTTTTATTCCAAGTTTTTAAGAAGAAAGCATTAGAGGCTTCAACATTTATTTTGCTTAGTGATCAGGCACTAGATTATATTTTTCAGTAGGTTACTTTAAGCGCAGGAGATAGTTCACAGTTCATTTCAGGTTATCATCCATGGTATTACGAAGATTATTCAAGAGGAATCAGGAGAAATCAGAAGAAGTTGCTAAATTAGGGTTTTGCGCAAGATTTGTGTTTGTGAGGCTATCTTGAAATATTTGTAATTTCCTCGTCTGTGATCGGAATGAGGTAAATTTGTAGTTAAATTGAACAAACCATCATGAACTACAAGTTTGTAGAAGAGGCAAGTCTAAAAAATGCATAGATCAAAAGTTATGGAGGTAACAATTGTATCCCCAGGCTTCCCTCCTTGTGGCGCCAAGAGAATTCAAATTTTCCATGTTAATCGATTAACACATTTTGCCTAGCAAAGTTTTAATCAATTAACCAGTGTAAAATTTGCCCAGAAAGTTCAGTTTCAGCACTGCAGCAAATTTCAACTCACTTTGATCACTTGATTTCATTTTCACACCAGTAGAAGGATCTAGAGGTGGTTCCAAATTTGATTTATTTTTCAATTGATTCAAATTCCCTCCAAATTTCAAATATTTCCATTCCTAATTCTACTCCTAATTTATATTCCTCACACTAACTCACACTCCAAACGATATTTAATTCCAAACCAAAACCATACTTAAATCATTATGCTTCAAACCTCTAATAACTCACTTCATTTTCTGATTTTTCTACACATCTCCTTCCAATTCTATCTCTTCTCTC